CAGACCTTTCTTGCTGTCACCGCGATAGGACTCCCACTTGGTTGAGGTTTGGTAGGCTCGGTGCCAAACGTGGTGGGGTGGTTGAGTCCGAGAGCCGGCCCGTGGTGGCGCATTGGTGCCAAAGGCAACACCAAATTGGGATGCATCCACTGCTTCCATGGGAGAGCGCCTGGGCGTGGTGGCTCTATCGTCATGTGCGGGAGAGCTCAAATAGCCATGACGATAACGAGAGTCGTGAGAGAGCGATTCGTGCACGGGCTCTCTCGGGAGCCGGGGTAGAGGGCGATTGGAGGCCAGGCCAAACGCCACTTCGCCATCGCGGGCAGACGGGTGCGCCGCGGGCGAGGGAGCGAGCAAAGAAAAATCGGTCGCAAGGTCACGAGAAGGCGACTGGGTCTCGTGCGCGCGTAACGAACCATGTGAGCGGCCCCTGTCCGGGATGAGCCGAAGGGCAGCGTTTATCTCGCGTTCAAGCTCGGCAATCTGCGATTGGAGCTGATGTTGGGAGCCTAGAGAGTGCACTAGGGCTTGAAGGGTCCTGTGGACCTGGGCCACGGCGGCGTCATTGTTGCGGGGGGATCCAGGGCCCGCGGCGGCGGCTGATGTGGCGGCGGCGCTTGCGGCATGGCGAGAAGCGCTCGCGGTAGCCTCGACGGGAGCGGCTCCTGTCGAAGGCGTGGCCGGGTGCGACCCGGTGGCGGCCATTTTCGGTCTTTCCTCTTCCTCATGCTCATTGACCAAGCAATCGAGAGCGTCGGGTTCGGCATGATCTTCTTCGTGCTGGAAGTCGCGCGTGAGGTCGGTGTGAGCCTCAAAATTTCTGGTGGCAGCAGCGCGAGCAGCGCTGTGCACTGCGGCACGGCTACGAGTGACTCTCTGGTCAACAGGAGTATGCATAACACTAAATGGCATGGTGGCGATGATCAAGGGAGGGGAAAGGTACAACAACAACAACAAGCAAGCAAGGAAGCAAGCAAACAAACAAAAAGTATGACAATTTTGCACTGTCTCAAAACAGAGAGAACAAAGAGGTTTTTGATGATTTTGAAGCGTTTTCACAATACAAACAGAAGACACAGGGAGGAAGCAGGAGGGGAACAGAGCAGCTGGAAAGCGCGAGGCAGGGTAACGAAAGAGAGGTTGGAAGAGTACACAACCGAGGCCCATAACCTATTAAAGGTGTATGTCCAGTACAGTGTAATGTGTGTGGACAAGGCGATTGTCACAGAGGTATCCAACCAATCGAAGTGCATACGAGAACATGGATTGAAGCAAGGCGAAGGAACAAGACAGAACAAGACAGAAGGAGGGAAGTGGAACGACCGAGGTCAAGAAGGAAAATGGTACCGATCCAGGGAGATCGCTCCCATTTATAGCAGGTGGAAACACACACACACAGTGGAGACAGAGAATGGACTATCACACTGAAGACAGGTGGAAGCGATATCAGCAATCTGTTGGGACCAACAGATGCCACAACAAGATGATACAGCAAGATGGTACAGCAAGATGTTACACAACAAGGTGGGACAACATCAAGTACCAAAGGACACACTACGTGGTAAAGTATACCGTCTCAGATTGTGCCTCTAATAAAGCACGCCGAGTACCTCATCAACATCCGCCCCAAGGAGCACCTCAATGGCTATTGTGCCTATGAGCTCCTCACCGGCATCAAGCCCCAGCTTTGCTTTCGGCTCTGAGGTTCAAACACCTAATTTATTATTAAGCCCCACGACATCCGCGACTTGCACCCCTTTGGCGCCGACGCTTTTGCCTTTGACCCGCTGC